TTTTTTTTTTTTTTTTTTTTTTTTTTTTTTTTTTTTTTTTTTTTTTTTTTTTTTGTATTGAAAAATTTTTTATTTCTTCACACATTTTATGTTTGTATATGCTCCCCCTTCTAAATTTATCTTTATTCGTGCCGTGTCCCGTGATTGCATGGCAACGTCTGATGTTCGTCTTTTTTTTCGCTTATCCAGTGGCTGTCGTAGTGTAGATCAGTATTTTTTTCATGCGTCACTCTCTGTATGTATTAAAAATGCACAAGTATGACTTTACCCTAGAAAGTCCACGTGCATACCTGTATTGTGCATCTGTACATGTATGCGTAGCATAATTGCTTCAGTTACCTGTAAAATTGTTATTAGAATTATCCATATATCTCTGTATGTGCTTTTATTGTTAAATTAGAAATTTAAAAAAAAGTCAAGTTGGATGCTATTGAAATTTCGAAAAACGAGCACCGATCAATGATTAACGTTATTGATGATCAAATAAAAAGTTACGGGACGTTGAAGCTTCGAGTTTGCGAAAAAATTAAAATGTAGTTATGGTGGCTATTGAAATTTAAGATTTTCAGTGATTTCAGTATAATGTGTGCATAAAATTTGTTTTGCTAATGTACATATTATTAGGTGTGTACTTTATTTCATATGTAAATCCATTTCGAACAATTAAACGTAAACTCTGATGTCCTGCATCTTTTATACCACCTACAACGCGTTCGGATACACTGACAATGCTTACGCGTGCAAAAAAATAAAGGTTTGAAGTATAAGTTGTGACATGAGCGTGTGCACCCATCATACGCTCGATCAAGTGCATATGAGTACCAAAACAACTGAATGAGGCGAACTAAAGGGGAGAACGGAAAAAAAAAGTAGGCGAGGAAGCGTGCCAAATTGGCCGCGAACACGCTTTGGCCTGAATCGCGAGGCGTTGTAAAAGAATAGGAGTAGCTTTCACGTTGGAAAGATAAGAAATAATACAATGCGATAAGGAGGCGAAGAGCGGTCCCTTATACCGTTCCTTTGTTAATTCCCGTTGCACCTTTCTATCTTTTTTTTTTTTTTTTTTTTTTTTATTTGAGTTTTGCTGATCGGAGTACTTTCATTACGAGGTGATTCACACGAAAAATTTAAAAGGAAAATATAATTTCCAAAAACGTTTTTTCAAGTCATACTTCCCCGTGGACATGACAATTCGTATTCTACGATGAGTAATTGTCATTGTCGGTAGCTGGGGCTATTTAACTGGCTTTACGCTGCAGGAAAAACCCTCTTTTTTTTCGACTCTATTAAAACGAATGGTATCATACAAAATTCAATGTTTACCTTTTTCGATGAAAGTAATTGGGTGTTTTATAAATACTTTTAATGATGGGCGAAACCCAGAAGTATAATCAATTAGACCATCGGAAATCATGAAGGAATAAAAAAATTATTTTTTGTAGAGGTGGATATTTTTTTTTAATTTTTTTTATTTGAAAGAAAAAATACATGTATAAATGATTCGTACCAGTAACCAAAATCTATTGGAAAGGAATTGCTTAGAATTTGAATGGGCCTCGACAGACAAATTTATAATAAAAGCTGCCATAATTATTTCAAGCACTTTGCTACGTACTTCGAGCTGTTCTGTGTTAAATAAAGCAAATTATTTTATTTATTTTAAGAGATTTTTTTCATAATTTCGGCGCCACACGTTTTTGTCGTACGTTTTTTTACTACAAAAAAGTGGAGGGAATTTCATACCAACAATAGATCTAGCTAGTGACAATGACCATACTCTGTTCAGGATTGTGAAAAAAAAAAAAAAAAAAAAAGAAATTCTTTAATTTTGTTTTTCCCGACGCCTAATTATTTGTGAAGATTTCAATTCGATGGTATTGAATGAAATACTGGGCTATCCAATTTTTCATGATAAAACTAAAAATACGCTAGAGAAAAAAAAAACTTGTAATGAAACAGTAACGACTGAATTCATAAAAGTATTAGATAACAATTTTGTAGGCAATTGTATGGAATCAATCGTAAATACTTGCAGGTATAATAGGATCGATGCTTCGCAAAATAAAAAGCAAAAGTAGGCCAAGTATATTTAACATAACAAGAATAGTATAAATTATTTAATAATAATAAGAATATAAAGTGAACATATAATGGCGTGCACAAAGCGAGGAGCACTGAATTTAACAAATCACAATAAATAAAGTACATTCTGGATTGCGATGGGACGAAATCACGTAGATTTTTTTCTTGACTCCTTGAAAGTGCAAAACTTTTTTTTACTAAAATATTTATTTTCGAAATACATGAATGACATACAAATTCTCGTTTCTCTTCCATTTGCCTCAATGAATTGTCTATCAATACTTATATCGGTCGATGCATTGAATGTTTTATACAATTTGCCAGTTTGATAAAATTTTTGATGGTATTTTTTTTTTTTTTTTTTCATAAAAAATCTCATTTTCTTGGTCCATACGTCCCCACGTTGTTTTCAAACCGAAATCGCGTCAACCAGCGACTGAGCCGCTGATCGCTCGACGGATGGAGAGGCAATCTGATCGCACTCTCCTCTCACGGCCCTTTTTTTTGATACTTCCTCATTATAAATCCGCTACAAAAGGGGCCAATAACCCTGCCCAACTTTGTGTGGTACTTTTCGAAACAATATACCACAACGTCAATACGAATCATCGAGACGTTTGATAAAATTATAAAAAGCCGCGATTACGCACTATTGCGTTTGCCGATCGCTAAACAAGTTTTCCATTCGTGTTAATATTGTAAATGTTTTTTTTTTTTTTTTTTTTTTTAATTTCATGCGGACAATCCTGCAGTGTGGAAACCTGCATTTGCATAAAACTTGGCATCAAAATAAGGAAAACATTTACACACACACAACACAAAAGAAAAAGAAAAAGAAAAAGAGTGTTCTCGCTACTATAGAGTTGTAAAACCAAAGTTTCGAAAAATTGCAATTGAAAGCGTTGCCTGTGCTCACAATTTTCGCCACCACTTGCACCCGACACTCAAACAGGACGTAATATACAGATTAGAAAAGCCAACGAACGTATCACGAACGCACGCTCGTGTTGTAATGAACGATAGGTTGCATGCCCGCTGTACGTGGTGCATGTGATGAGTCGAAGCGCAGCCGAGGAGGTCGAGGCGGCCCGGGGACGCGGCGTGTGCGTCTGGGGCGAGACCCTAGCCGCGGCCCTCGGGGCCGATGGCACGAGCTACAGCCACCAGTGCTGGAGACACGCGGCCGCCCACGTGCTCAGTCCACCGCTCAGGCCTGACGTCGACACGCCCACTGAGCTCATGAAGAAGCTCAACTCGTAAGTACATGCACACCTTTACTCATCATGCTTATTACCTTGTTCCATACCATAATAGTATTTTTTTAATATTATATATACACAAGTAGGTATAATATACTTACTTCTGATCCATTATCATTCTTTATATTATTATCTTTGCCACATGCTTAGTCTAGACAATATAATGTAAGATTTGCTATACGTATGGATGAATGAATCTTCTGTAAGATAAACTGGCTTGGCTCAGCCTGTCTTCCTTCTGCTTTTTTCCTCTATTGTCCTCTTACGTCCAGCCATCTCTCGTATTAGGTATTTTTTGTACGTACTGCACCTTTATATACTTTTAACTTTTGGTTTGTCAAGAGCTGATGGAAAAAGATAATGATTATGGGGTACTTGTGCTTTTCGCTCCTTCCAAATATATTTACACATTACTTTGAATGATACGTAGATGTATATGTGATTTCATAGATGTATTTTTTTTTTTTTTTTTTTTTTTTGGTATCTTTTACGACTTTATTTTGTAAACTTGATGTTTTCTGGTCTCTATGTAATGTTAGCTTTCGTGAATGAAAGTCAATGGTATACTGATAGAAAGTCAGCTAAAACGTGAAAATGTAGACATGAAGGTACATGGATGTGATTGTTATACTTATACATTTACATTTTTGTCAAAATATATGTATATTCGTTTTACATATACGTGTAGGTATAGATGAATAGAACATGCACGATTCCTCTCCAAGTATCCAAGCGAATAAAATGATTATTATTTAGTCAATGGCGCATGTTAAGAAATAGAGAAACTACATAATACACTCGAAATCGTAAAACAACATTCAACCAAAATTACTCGAAGGGAAATTTAAAAAATTTTTTTTATATTGCCCACTCTGGCTGATAAAACATTTAATTTTATTAAACGATTTCAAAAAGAAAATACTTTTGTTGTTTATGGCCCTAGGAAAAAACATTGCAAATAAGTTAAATAAACAAAGTACATTTTTTTGTTATTTACGATTTTTGTATTCAATTCTCGGTCGCATCAGTGTCAGTATAACTTTTCAAATTGACATTGCAGTTGTTAAGCAAAATAATTATTTTTATAATAAAATT